GGTCCGTCGTGCCCATGACGGTCCGTTGTTGGGTTCGTCGCCTCAGCCTGTTTTTCCATAAATAAAATCTGCTGCTCAAAACGACTAAACAGGTCGTTACATTATACAAGTTGGTAATTATAATAAAGTTTAAATAAAAATCAAACTAATACTAATTCAAAAAGAAAATCAATTCAACATTAAGAATGACAATAATATTGAATATTTGTTTTTTAGTTTTACATAGATTTAGACAATTAAAATACATGATCTAATTTCACTTTCTTTTAAAATTTAGTCATGTAACAAATACTTACTAAACTTATTTTAGCATGATTTAGTACTTTAAATTATGATCAATTTGATTATGACTTATTGATTTGCAATATTTGTTTTACGCGATTTTATTATTATTTTTTTGTTGGATATTTTAGTTTCATTAATCATATCATATTTTTTGTTATTTTTTTGAGAAATAACTTAGATAGTTACATTTTGGTAGGACTAAAGAAATATTTGAACTACAAGTACATTATATGTTTGTATGAATACTTTATAAAAAAAAACCCAAAAACCTAAAAAACTCTAAGAAACCCGAAAAAATCCAAAGTTAAAAAATCTGAACCCAAACCAATCCGATCACACACACTCCTACTTCCTACAGTAATAATTATTACTATAGCTGAAATTATATGTTAAAAAAGACTATTATTTTGATTAATTTATTTTCGGTAAAAACGATAAATAATTATTGTCATAGTTAGTGTGTCGAAGTTGATCCTCCTCTTTTAAGTAATTGAGCAGATTTAGATACAGAGGAATTAAACATTACCAACCTAATAAAGTTCCTAACTATTAAAATCTATAATATATATTTTTTTATTTTAACATTTTCATGTTCTTTAATGTTTTTCATTTTTAGTGTGCCAACAGCCAAGTATTCTAACACTTCTTTTGTAAAGAGCAAGTCAGATACGTGTGGCTGGGTCAGGTTTCTTCCTTTTTAATTTTGTTGTTATTATATTTTATTATTTAGGGATTGCTCATTACTATTCTTTTCATATGTCAATTTCCACTTTTTTTCAACTATATTAAATATAATAAAGCCCAAAACAACAAGTCTCGTGTACTTCTATGGCAAAAAAAATTATTTCATGTAAAGTATATGTAAGTTCATCTAAACGCAGCTTTCTAATAAAGTATGCGACTAAAAGAAATAAACAAGGGGATAATTTCATAAACAATATACACAACTAACTTAAATTGTAAACTTATAGTCCAAAAATTATATTACAATTCTATAAATCAAAATTGTTAAACGCCTTCTTTGCTTTGTTTTTTGTCCTCTTTTCTTTTGGCTATAGTATAAAAATGCAGAGAGTTTAGTACATCTATGTTTATACATATAGTGGTTGTTTGATTACTGGATAAGGAAAAAATATAACTTTATTATTTATGCATTAATTTTATATTATGTTTGGTTTATAAATAGGCATAATATATAAATATATCTTTTAACTTGATTTTATTTCACATTTATACTGTTGAACTTTGGTTGTGTGCGAGTAGACATTTAAATTTGTATAAAGTTAAACAAGTAAACACCTGAGTCCTATGTGACATATATAATACATATAGGACACGACGTAGGACACAAATTAACACATGTTGAATGTCACGTAAGATGTGTACATACTATGTCTTTTTGTTTAATTTTAAACACAAGATTAGATTTTTTTCGACTTTCACAAAAAATCAACCTCCTAAATTCGTTTTTTCCAAATTTTTGCTTTGTTTTTTTTTCTTCTTAAATTTATGGAAGTTGGATGCAATATTTGATAAAAAGTGGTGTACATATTATCACCTAAATAAAGTTAATAGCGCGTATTAATATGACACCAAAAAGATCAATCTCAAGCATAAGGATATTTAAGTAAACTCCATAATAATATAAAAGGCAATAGACCATCTTGTGACAAACAATATAAATTTTATAAAGCAATTAAAGTTGACACCTTTTTTTCCTAGTGCTACTTTGCTTTGTGAAAAAATCGATAGAGACTCTAAAATCTTTGTAAGCCTTCAACCTTATAGAAAAACAAAAAAGAAAAATGCAATGTTCAGAAGAAACTATAGCTAGTTTGTTCTACAATATCTCTAGCTCTTTTCTAATTTTACTACTCTTCACCTATTTCACTTCCAGTTTGCTTGCCAAATTCTTCTATTTCCTTGGTGGAAATCCGTTTTTCTGGAGGTAACTTGTAATTTTTCCCTTAATTTCCTTTTAATGTTTTAATTTTTTCAGTTCGTGGAAATTCTTTTTGATATGGATGACATGAGATTTGATCTCAAGACCTCTACATGCTGTGTATCAATATTGAAGCGTGTGACTATCTCATTTATTAGAGAGAATACAATTTTACTAGTTAATTATATTCTTAACATAATTACTTTATTTTTAGGAATCAAGATGCGTATGAATTTTCTGATGACGAAGAAGTGGAGGAAGAGCATGAGTATTATCATAATAATAATTATGAGTTTGTGGAAGAAAATCATTTCATAGATAATGAATTTCTTGGTGTTGAGAAAGAGATAGAAGAAAGTTGTAGCAATACTGACGATGATTATGAAGAGGAGTCGATTTATAGCTCAATAATGTATTCAGAATCTATTTATAGTGATGATAATGAAATGGAAGTTATAGAAATATTAGATGATCATTATGATTCTTATTCTAATTCTGATCCTTCTGGTTATTCTGATTCTCAAATCAACGAAGTTGGGCCCACTTTACCTCTTCCTAGGGACATGAATACAAATGTATTAACGAATACCATTGACAAGGACATAAATCATGGTACGTACTATAATTCAAGTCTTACTTTACAAATTAAATTTATTTTCCAAAATGACTTGTACAATATTAATAATGGTCCTTCAAATTTAGTTGGTATAGAGGGTAGTTATACATATGATAATCTTATATAAACCTCTCTACAATGCCTTCTGAATCGACTCTGTCGCATAAGGTTTGACTAGTTCATTTTATATTCATTGTGTGATTTGTAGATTATTACACTGTGAGGGTTTTAGTGCTCACAACAGATTGCTCACTCAAAGTGCAGAGGTTGTAGCATGTGCGAGTTATGTTGGATTAAAAGAAATTGTTAACAATGATATCTTTGTTACAGGAAATTGCTACAGGGAATTGATTGAAGACAAAAAAGTGATAGAGATTAATTTGTGTACTAGAGAGGAAAATATGTTTGTTAATGCATCATCATCAAAGTTAGAGAACAATAAGAAGATTGTGCAATCAGTGCAAGATGAAGAAAAGGATGAGCATGAAATATTTGGGGATTCTTGTACTAATGGCTCAACTTCTAAGAGCTCTACTGAATGGAGAAGTTCAATTAAAGATTCAACAACTGATGATCCATTTTCTTCATCATCAAGAAGAAGTTGCCCTAAATGGGAGTCTTACACAATCTTTCAAAAATATGATGAAGAGATGTTGTTTTTTGATAGAATTAGTGCACAAAAACTACATGAAACAGGTAAATCTACATCTCTCAATTTTCCAGCTTAATTTCACATATAACTACTGAATTTTATACTTTATAAAACCAATTTCATCATATAAAAAAAGTGAACTTGTACATGTGAATTGCTTAGAAAATCCAAATAATGGAGAAAGTGAAATTTCTAGTGTTGGATTAGGAATTTTTGTACAAGTAAAGGACTTCTATAGTTATTTTATTTTTAATTTGTTAATGGTTTTCCTTCACTTATTTTTTTTTAAAATTAAATTACGGATAGGTATAACTCATCACTAACGTGGGGAATGATGAGTCATACTTCTTGATTTAAAACAGTTATAACTAGTAAGATAATTTATAATTACATTAATATTATTATGACATGTTTTTAGAATATTCTTTCTTCAACTTTATGCTTCAGTCAAAGTGGATCATATTAAGTGAAAACGCTAGGTAAAATTCAGTGACAATAAGTGAAATATTTTTTTTTCCTACCACAAAAATGTTTCTATTTCGTTTTAATTATTGACTAATGAAGCAACCAATTCATTTTCAGAAACATTAAGATCAATTCAAGCATGTCCAAGATCAATATCAGATAAGATTGTCCATAAATTATTCGTAAATAAGAAGTCAAGGCAGCATCATAACCCTTATTATGAACTAGAGGCTGCTTATGTAGCACAGGTATGTTTAGCATGGGAAGCTCTGAGTTGGAATTACAAGTACTTTCAACGACTACGAGCTTCCCATAATAATAATAATAATAAGGAATCAAAGGACGACCAAGGTTGTCCTGCTTATGTAGCACAACATTTCCAACAGTTTCAAGTTCATTTACAAAGATACATTGAGAATGAGCCATATGAAAATGGAAAGAGACCGGAAATTTATGCTAAAATGAGAAGTTTAGCTCCTAAATTGCTTCAAGTCCCAGAATATCGAGGTAATGATAACATCTACATATATTATTGTTGTTGTTTGATCATTAGTGCTATTTAACCTTATATTGAAAATTATTAACTTTTTTTCATGTCATACATGGGATGTTGCCTGTATTTTAAATGACTTGGTGGAATAAAAACTTCTTTAATTTTTTATTTTAGAATATAGAATTTGAACTTCTATTATATGTTATTATAATATTTTTATTGAATAATTTAAACCTTCACTTTTCATAGCTAGTCTTGTGAGTTGTAGTAGAGAATTAGGAAAAGAATGAGTGTGACATTGAGTATTTGATGTCCAGGAAAGAAGTCCCACACCCACACACTAGAGTGGACCAAATTTGCCTTTTATTCAATATAGACACATTATTAAAAAAATTAAAATTCAGAAATGTGAACTAATAATGCTAAAAAAAAAATTTCTTTTAGAGAAAAAAATAAATCAATTGCTTATTTTTCGATATTCTTGAAGAATCGCGATGTATTGTATAATTTCTTATCGTATACTTTTTTTTATATTAGATTCAGTGGAGGAGGATAAAGGGGCGGATCAAGATTATTGCTCAAGAATATCTTCAGAATCATTTCATGAAATAATGAAAGAAGCAATCAGAACGTTTATGAATTTCCTAAAGGCAGACAAGGAGAATCGTTACCAAATATTAGTGGCAGCTTTCTTTAGAAGAAAAAGAAGAGGTTCACCTCATGCTACCATCTTCTTGCTAAACAAACAAAACAAAAAGGCAAGAATCTTATAACATCTCTTCTTCTTATTTACAAAAATTATGTATTGAAATTCACGAATACTCCTATTTTTTAAAATATTGGGATTTAATATCATAAAATGTGACATTATTATTATTTGTTACATCTGAGCCGATTGTTTTTAAAAAACAACCTTTCTATCTTCACTAGGTAGTGATAAGATTTGCGTACATTTTATCCTTGTCAGAGACTTGTGGGATTTCATTGGCCATATTGGTAATATTGTTATGTCATTATTATAATATACACTTGATAGAGTACTCAATTAGTTGAGCTTAAATGACTTGATAGAGTGAGTTTTATGTGCAATACTACTTGTACATACAAGTTAAATCACAATATTACTTGTTTATAACGTTTAACTATACTTATACGAACTAATAATGTAAAGAATTACACCTTATAACATAGTAATAACGATTTATATTGACAGTGCACATAACGTAAATCTTTTTTTAATTTTGTGCAGAAAAAATCAAAGGTGAAAGATTTACAAAGATCAGGAAAGTGCTTGAGGAATAAAAGAAGGTTAAAAGAAGAAGAAGAGATGGAGATGTTGATGTCATTAATAGACTTGAAATTAGTGTCAAGGGTATTGAGAATGAGGCAAGTAAATGAAGAACAATTGCATTGGTGTGAAGACAAGATGAGCAAAGTAAAAATAAGTGATGGCAAATTACAAAGAGATTCTTCACCACTTTTCTTTCCAGCACAATAGTAGTACTCTATGAGGACCCCATTTAGCATTAAGTAAAGTGTTTCATTTTACTTTAATGACTAGATCATGAATCATGTGTCATGTAGATGAATATCCTCTTTTTTTCTTTTGATTTTTCTGGTGTTTGAAGCCCACATTAGAGTTTAGATTTGAATCACGCACCGCATAATCCATTTAAAGACGTGACACTCTTAATATGATTTTCTCTATATTTAGACTCGAACCCGAATCTTTAATTAATGGTAGAGCAGTCCTACCACAACACCCATCCCATGTTGGTAGAGATGAATATCCTCAGCATACTGCCAGAAAAGGACAAGGATGGCCCAGAAATAAAAGTTACTTGGGGAGGAAAACAATGACAAAGGTGAGTTAATGGGAATAATTAAGCAAAAAGAGAAGAAGATAAAGGGGATGTGCATGTGGATAAGTAGCTTTACTTTACTTTTTTTTTAGAGCTTTTTTTTATTAGGGAGGGTTATATCCAAAAGTAAAAGCTATATCTTGTGATTTATTTTGTCACACTCTTGCTTTTATGGACCAAACATGAAAATGAACAACAATAGAGAGAGCTAATATGTGTTTTTATCTCTTCGTATTCTCTAGTTTAAACCATGAGATCAGCATAAATGTATATTTTCATATACTTATAATAATAATAATAATAATACTTCATCCGTTTAAAAAAGAATGACCTTATTTCCTTTTTAGTCCATTTCAAAAAGAATAATTCCTTTCCCTTTTTAGCAACATTTTAACTTTAACTTTCCACGTGATATGTTTAAGACCACAAGATTAAAGAACATTTTGTACATTTGACATAACTTTAATGTAAAACCATAAGATTAAAAATTTTTTTTTTCCTTAAACTCTGTTCCAAATCAAATAAGGTCATCCTTTTTTAAACGAAGGAAATATAACGTAGCAAATATTGGAGTAATTAACTAGAAAACAACTACATGTTATATATTATATTACTCTTTATCATTTGTCGTGCAACGTGTTACTTAATTCTTTTCTTCAAATTTGTTGTATATAATCATATATACAGTGACGAAATCAAAATTTTTAATAAGGAAGATCAAAATCTGAAAAGTGAACACACGAAGTGAAAGGGGATTTAACATCTATATATACGTATAAAATTATTTTAACCATGCATAAATGGTACATATATAACGGGTTGATTATGGAGAATGTCAAAATTTGGACAAGTTAAAAATATATTTAGTTAAATGAAGAGGTTAGATGAACGATTGTTTCTTCCAACAAACCAGATCCAATTGTCATCGCCTTCAAATATATGCACAATAAAAAAATAATAAGAAAAAAAATCACTTCACTACCAAGAAAAAAAGGGTTAAGGATTCATTTGTTTGCACTTAAAAGGGATTTGAATCTTGATCAATCAATTTCACCTCATTTAGTGTGTCTTTTTTTGAGGACTGAATCTTAATTATTCAGATTCAATTCATTAATATTGTTTGTTTTATTTCCTTATAAGGCTTTAAATAGGTCTGAATGAATCAAATTTGTAACACTCTTAACCATTCACACTAAAAAATAAGACTCCTATTCTAATTCAACTACCTTACAACAACTCATAAAAGTTTTTTTCCTATATAATTAATGTTAGTTACATGCTTACTGATTTCTTTTATTCTTACTAACTTAATATACATCTTTTACTTTTATAAATTGTCACGTTCCAGACCGTCGTGATTGATACACATACTAATCCTTCGAGGGGAGAACCACTACTACAACCCAAATAAGAAACTAAATCAAAACTAAGACAATTAAGTTACAAAACCAAGTTAAATAACTAAATAAATGCGGAATTTAAATACCTAGAATCTGAAAGTCAATGTACCTAAAACTCAACCAAGTTTAAACAAGAAGGGATGCAACCCCAGTCTAATGAATTAAATAACTAGCTAAAGCAATTGCCCAAGTCCAAATTGGTTAACATAGACTAAAGAGAATTTCATGGCCCGAAAGATGCTAGCTCACCCATGGATTTGAAGCTATGATCACTGATCTTCTAAGCGAGGTCTGTCAATAGTCGCGTAACGATTTCCTATACTCAACAAAAATAAGAACAAGTGAAGTATCACTACACAACCAAAGTGTACTGGTAGGATCATGCAATACATATCATAGTCTACAACATTATCAACATGAAATTCAACAATACATTTCACATGCTTATCACATTATTGGTTCTCTCACGGAATCCAAACCCAAACCATTAGCTTGCCCGAATGTGACAATCTGATCTCAAAGTTATGCTGGAACGTGGCAATTCGATCTAATATTATGCCGGCATGTGGAAACCCGATCCAAAGTTATTCCGGAATGTGGAAACTGATCTCATATTTAAACAGGAACATGACAACTGATCCCAAACACACACCACAATCAAAATCACAAGTATATCATCAAGATCATACATTTATATCATGATTTCATGGCAAAATCATTCCTCTATATTGTTTACAACATGTGTGATCAATATTGCAACATTCATACATATACAAGTATCACAATGAATCAAAGAGCATGCATATATCACACAATCAAGAAATTACAATCATCACCAACCTAGAAACAAACTTGAAACCTTAAGAAACTTGATCCTTCCCTTTCAGGATTCGTTCCGCTTTTCTTGGTATATAAACAATAAATACAATATAAGAATCAATAAACAATCACTCATTACATGAAGCTATAATAATTCTATAAACCCTAGATCATACCCATGATCCCTAGTATCTAATATAGGGTTGTTTATACCATATAATCTATTTCAAAACCCTTCCCCATCAATATTAACCCATTCTATTACATTCTACTAGTTGAAGAATGGATTCAGAGAGTGAAAAGCTTACCTTTAGCTTCAAGAATGATGAAAAAAAATAGAAATCGTATGGGGTCGTTTCTTAGATCTAAAAGTGCATAATGAGCTCGTTTAGGGGTTTATAAACGATTTTAATTCGCGTCCTGCCCGCCACAACAACACTCATCCGCTCACCATAATGGCAGAAACACTCGCCACAACAGGATTTCCGAACCAATGAGCAACATAAAGAATTTCCAAATCCCCATTTCACAACACACCTCTAACATATACGTTCAAAAAATACTGTTTATGCTAAGATCGATTCCAGGAGTTCTATATGCTCGAATTCAATTCTGTAAAGTCATACAATTCTTTAATAAATTATCTAACTACACATGCAATCAAAATAATAAATGATTCACTCGTTTGTTACCAGATTTTGCTACACCTTAATGACTCCAATTTCGTCCAAATATGGATTAGATTGGGAAAATTCCAATTACTACGAAAAAAATTTGGCCTAAAATTTTCCCCTGTTGGCTTTTCTATAACGACAGAACTTTGAATTAATAAGCACTCACATTATATAATATTTAGAATGATTTAAAAAATAAAAAAAGTATTAATTATTTGATCGATAACAATAACAAATGTCCATTATGAAATAAAATATTTTCATAAATATTATATTACTACTCTATACAAATAATTTACATTGCACTAGATTAGATTCTCAAAGTTTTTGAATGCAAAGAATAGTCATATTAATGATGTAACATAATGTTAAATTCTTAATAGATAAATCATATTACCTTGTTAGGATAAAAATGTTCAAAACATTATTTTCTATATGTAAAAAAACTGTTTTACTAAAATGAGGTTTATAATATTTTATTGATATTAAATTTAATTTCATATGTACATTCAGATATTGAAAACAAAAAGTCTCAATAATCTAGTTTATGATTCAGAGACAACATGATCTAAATATTCAGATGTTTATTAAGATTTACACATCTAGATCTTAATGCATATCTTAATATCAAGATGTGTATTCAGATTCAGACGTCTCAATCTTAATGAAAACAAATGAGGCCTAAATTGCAAAGGTTTATTTGTAAAGGGTGTTAAAAATCCACTTTAAGATCATTTTGTCGCATTTACTTTAGCCCACGTTATAAAATTTATTTTGTGACAATTTTATCGTCAAGGTTTGTGATAGCCTTCATAAATTGCGTAAAAAATTGTGAAGCTTTGAAAATGAGACAATTCGTTATAATTTGTGGTAGTTTTATAGTGGAGGTTTTTGATAACCCCACAAATAGTATCAAATTGTGAAGTTCTGTAAATGCCACGAGTCATTATAATTTGTGGCGGTTAAGGAGTCCATTAAAAACTTAAACTATAAGAATCACTTTAGAGAATAAGAAAATATAATCATGAAAACTACAAGTACCACGGAATATATGCATTGCAAGTTTGGTTAGCACGAGAAGAGCAAATTAAGTTGGAAATTGATCAAATGCAATCTTAAAATGCAGACAATTGAGATCTCGGTTCATTATTTTAAGAGAATGGAATAATTGATAAAAATGTTACTCGTACAATTTATAAGTGAATGCTTAGAATAGAGAAGTTATCGAGGTGTTATGTCATTAAAAGAATATATCTACTAAAGACCAAAGCAAAAGGTAAATTCACTTAACAGTATCAATATAGCTCAATATATTTTAATGAGATGAATATTTTAGAGAAATAAATGTTGGATGTACAATCATACAAAATTAGGTAAGATTAAAAATGACATCCTCCATCGTAAGGTACATGTAGCAGTATCGACAATAGAATGAGAAATCACTTGATATTATATCTACAAAGTATTAGTGTTTGATAATGGTGATGACTAGTACTGGTAGTTATGAGTGTACATTGACGATGATCATGATTAATAGTTGCAGATAGTAGCTAGTGGTAATTGTGATTGAAAATATAAGTGACGATAATAGTTACTAGTGTTATTGATACTTTGATGATAGTGATAAATGAAGAGGGTAAATGATAATATATGGTAATGATTGTCAATATTTATTAATGATTGTTATGGTAATGATGATTGGTGGTAATGTTTGTAATATTGACTAGTGGTAGTGAGTAAAAAACAGTAGCAAAAGATTTCTTCAAAAATGACAAATATCAACTCAAAAATGTATATAAAAATACAATAAAAATACTCTTTGACTTAATTTGGGAGATTCTCTAACCAACAACCATCAATATGAACTATGTGATGATATAACATCTCACCTACGCTACAAGAATTATCCTATATCTTGTCGTTGGCATAGACCACCTCAACTAAGTGGATCCACTATGTTATGCCTGAAGACATTAACAATTCATCTAAAAATTATGATCGTTTATCCACGTTGATTACATGGTTTATGAGGAATGTGAGTTGCCTGAACTCATCTTTATATCTGTGCTAATATTACTCCAAATGAATATGCAAGTGGTCAAATGTATAAAATATGCTCTTTCTATGGTTTGAGATAGTTTCTCAAACTATCCTCTTAAAAGAGCTTAATGCTATGAAGTATCTATGAACTCATAAACTCTTTCAGAAATCAAAGTTACTTTGTTCTCAAATAATACTCTTTATTTATATAAAAATGAAACATTTGAAAATACTCAGTTCCCTTAAACTTTACTCAATGTCTCTTTAAACATTCCAAAAGAAATCAGTTTAACACAC